ATATATAATGGAGGTGGCAAATATATCTTCTTTTTTTAGGGAACGAATTAATTATATATTTTTACATAACAATATAATAATGCAATATTATTAGTATAGCTGTAACAAAAATATTTCATGGATGTGACAAATATATCTTCTATTAGAAGGTATTATTAAATTAACTTTCTCACAATCGTTCTAATTGGCACCAATGTTGTAACCGGATCGAACCCTTCAGTGAAACGGGTCGGTTAGGTTCCGAACGGATGGTTCACGGGCCCGTGTACCTTCACTCGTTTCTAATTATGGATTTTGACGCTCCGGTTTTTTTTGTTTTTGACAATTAAGCTTTCTAATTAAGCGCAGGAGTAATTAGGTGATTCGCATGGCGTGATCGCGGTATAAACAAAGAATCAAAAATCTAATTAATTATGAACTATCGACACCTAGATATATTGCTTTGTTCGTCTCTCTCATGCACGAGAGTGTTCTCGTGTTGGCATAGTCGTTAAAAGATTAACCGATTTTGCGATTAAAAGATCTCAAAAAACGGTGCTTTTGGGAGTTCTCAAGAAATACAAATTTTTCGTTGTGGTTCAACTGCTATTGATCAAAACTACGAGAGAAAACTTAAAAGGAATACATCAAAAAAAGGAAAAAAATCGAGGCTGCTAAGCTATTCTACAGCTCCGTTTTCCCGGACTTCGAACCCTTGTTCGAGTTTGCTTTCTTGCTTTTCCACCACTGTCTTATTCTATGCGAAACTCTGTCGGCATGACCTTTCAATTTCTCTCCTGCATCCACTACTCCTTTCGTGATTTTTTCCTTCCAATCGTACTTTTTACTCTCCTTCTCCCTCAGTACTTTTCCCTGTATTTTATCGAGGTTATCTCGACATTAATTAGCTGATTTTATATTTTTTAAATGTTTAATTAAAAAGAGCTAGTATTGGATTTTATCCTCACCAAATTTGAAGGAAAATCCGTCACGTCATCATCATCTTCGTCGTCTTCTGCATCTTCATTACCAAACTTTTGGTTCATCAATTCTTCCCTCGAGTACATCTTCATGCCGGGTGCTCCTGGCATTCCCTTTAATCGAATTAAAAATAATAAATAAATAAAGTTAGGAGTTTGTCGATCGGTTAAAAAAAGTGCCAAATTAGCCAATCGTTTTTTCTCCTTTCGTTACCTCCATGGATTTCATTAGCCTCTCCATTTCAGCCTCTTTGGCAGATTTCGCGACAAAAGGCTCTCCTGGAATCCGATCCTGAATCGCACAAAAATAATCTTTAGGCAAAAAAAAACATAACAAAGATTAAAATGCCTTTCATTTTTCTTTTATGAGTTTAATTAGTGAACTATTTGATGTCACGACTAAACGGCGTCGAACCTTAGGAACTGGTGGTGGCTTCGAACTGCATGCTTTAGTCAGGTCCTTACAGATGAAATTTACAAGAGAATCGAGCTGGGGTTTATTCGTGTATAAATATTCTGCAACATCTGTATCGTAGTAACCCAAAACCTGCAAAACAGGATTCAAGAATTTCGTTGGCCAATTCTGTATTTCGAGTCAAATTGATAAAATAAAATTAAAAAAAAAAAACGATCGTATAATTTCAGCTCAATCAAATAGGACAACAGATGCGCTTAAATCTAACTATACGTGTGAGTACTTATTCCAATGCAGCAATTAGTCCGTCCATTCAATCGTTTTTTTAAATATATGGAATATCAAACAAATCCGAAATATAACAATTTATATATAAAAGAAGCCGAAATGTGTTTGCTGATGTCACCTCTTGACAAGCTCGTTCGATTGTTTTGCATTCCGAGCCGCACTGCCCTTCGGAGTCTTGTTCAACGAGCTGAGTACAAGAATTAATCCGCAAACGTAAGCGATCTTTACGATAATTGATATGTAATAAGCATCTTACTATGTGTTCTTATTTTACCTCGAGTTTATCCCCTTTTTCGACGATGTCGATTTTGAGAATCCAATCAGCTTCTTGCTTTCTTCAGATTACAAACATTCTCTGTGATTTCTATGACATGATACTCTGATACCTGCTTACAATCAGATATAAAATCAACTTTGAGGGGAAAAAAATGAACACTGAAAATTGAAAGCCCTAATTAATCAATCGATTACACAAACAAATAATATAAAGCATAAAAACCTAATTAAACGCAATCAATCCACCAACAAAAAAACACAATTTCAAGTGGGGAATAAAAATTAAAAAAAATAACCTTTTTGGGTGAGATCTCATCTCGTTTGGATTGAACCTGGTGGTATAATTGGGAGGCTAATTTCTGACAGACTTGACATTTTATATATGGAATGTCTTCTTTCCTTGCAGCTCCGGCGGGTTTCTTGGCGGCGGAGTGGGATAACGGCAGCCATGATAATTCTACTATTACTATTGCGAGTATCGCTAGAGATAGTAATAATTGATTCGATTTCGCCATTGTTGAAAAAAACCCCAAATGAAAGAGGGGAAAAAAACGCACAACACACAGTGATGAGAGCTGTACTAGTTGCAGTGACTGACTGACAACAGCAGCGCTTCGTTTACTCTGTTTTCGTTTGATTTGAGCTACGACGTCGTAACGTGTAGGGAGGTCTTACGTGTTGGTTTGTTCTGATTGGTCGATCTGTGCCACGTGTCTGATTTGTTGATGCCACGTCGGTAAAAGACTATTCTGCATATTATATGAGGATTTCTGGGTAATTGGCATTTTGCACCCTTCAATTACATGTCATTGGCATTTTGCACCCTTAAATTGAAAAAAATGGCAGAATGTATCCTTCAATTACATTTTGCTTGGCACTTTCATCCTAATTCATTTTTTGGCTAGAAAAGTGACATGCTACCTGTTGAAGAGGGGTGGATTTGTCTTTCTTTATTTCTCACAAACGTAAATATATTTTATCTTCTTCATTTCACATTTCCAAACTCGACCAAGAACAACTATAATGTTCATTGTTCTCTATCAAGAGTTTGAGGATACTTTACTCTAATTTTGAATAAATTTATATATTATTTATTTTAAAATAAATACGTATTCAATTAAAAGCAAGCATTCAAAATTAATGTTTGTTAATATGGTATATAAAAATAAAGGCCATCCAATCTACATTCCATAAATTCACTTAGATAGTATTTTAAACAGATAATAAAACTTAATTTTTCTTGTTCATATGGACTTAAAAGGAGAATTATGTATATATTATGGTTATTTGTGTAGAAAAAAAATGGGTTTACTTTTATTGTTTTGGTTACATCAATTGGTTAGAACATCAAGTCACTAAAAAAATCAATTTTTATATTCAATATTATGGAGTAGATATTTAACTAAAAAGATAAGAGAAAATCTACAAATGAATATTCTAATGTTTGGTTTATCTCCTTGGCACAAAGAGATGGTTGAATTAGTTGTTGGATTGATATAGTTGACACTAATCCAGTACTTGTCTAAAAAATCATAAAAGAAATGAAAGTTTGTGAGCAATAAAAGAAAAAAAAGAAATATGCTGCCCCTATTCAAATCTCACATAACAGGTAGCAAGTCACTTTTCTAGCAAAAAAATGAATTAGGATGCAAAGTGCCAAGCAAAATGTAATTAGATAGTGCATTCTGCCATTTTTCTAATTTTAGGGTGCAAAGTGCCAATGACATATAATTTAATGGTGCAAAGTGTCAAATATCCGTGGATTTCTTTAACTTCTTTATTATTTATTTTTAGTGTAAATTCAACTTCCCCTCGTATACTTTGGTCGATATCATTTTACTCTCTTCTACTCTTTATTGCATCGATTTGCGCCTCTATACTTAAAAAATTGTCTCAATATGGTCATCGCTGTTAGTTGTTAGATATTTAACATTAACACCGTTTGGTCTAAGTTCTAAAATTTCGAACATTTTTTTGCGAAAAAAAAACCCCTACAAATCGATTTGTAGGGCTTTTTAACATGAAATTGGTTCCGTAATCGACCTACCCAATGCATATTACACATAAAAGAGTCGAAATTACATCAAAAAATCGAAGCCCGACCCTTCTTCAAGCTTGATTTCGAATTTTCGAATTTTTTTTTTTTTTGCTATTTGCAGTTTTGGGGTTTTTTTTTTGATATTTTTAAAAGTTTTGGGGGGTTTTGTTATAAACCGCAAATAGCAATTTTGTGACCGCAAATATCATTTTCTTATTTTTAATATACATTTTTATTGTTATTTTTAGGGTATATTACAGCTACACCCCTGAATTATGATAAAATAACTGTAAGGTTCATATGGTAATTGGTAATTACGGCCACATTCCCGAAGCAATTAACGGAGCTAAGATTTCATGTCTTGGGGACCTATATGAACTTTATTTGTTTTCCACGGGGCCGTTAATGCAACCATAGATGGAAATTTATAAATTTTATATAAAATAATAAGGATTTAAAAAATGTTGGGGGAGTCATGTCACCTCTAGCTATGTTGTCTCCACCACTTCCTGAAACTAATAGTCCCTTAGACCCGTAAGGCCTATATTGGTTGGGCGGATCCGGGTGGATAGTTCCTGTAATCCACTCGGATCTCAACTTTGGTTCAGCCCAACCGGGTTCTGGATTGCACTTGGGCCCGGGTCCGGATCATGGAATTACTGGATCTCCCATCAGGCCAAATGAGGTGAGATTGAGTAATCTCATCCAACACTCAGCCCAATCAAGTACCTATATTACTATTATGCCCTGAATATTTATTTCTAATTACAAGACTACCCCATATATATATCAATTACGCCCTAGAATTTTCCCGTCAAAGCATTACACAGCCGTTCTTCGTTCTTCTGCACCGAAAACCGAATAGAACAATTCTGAGAAATTCAAAGGAAAGATCGAAAAAATAAATCAATTAAATTTGTGCTTCTAACGGCTCACCTGATGATCGGGAACCTGGCGGACGATGCTTACAGAAACATTAATTTTTAGACATTGTTAATCCTCGGTTCGATGATAATAAGATTCTCCACTGTGGTCTGTGGTTTTTTCACGGAGGTATTTTTTCGGATAATCGACTCATCTAGGTTGTCTAATACGCTCCTTTCTTCGTTTTTTAGGCCCCCCTAAACCGGAGTAATCACAGATTGATTGCACAGATTGCTTCAAACGCATCCGAGTAAAATTGAAGAATTTTGGGTTCATATCCTTAATTTTCCTTTTTTTATATCCTTAATTTTCTCGCATTGTTCTTACAGCATTTCAAATTCTTGAAAGAAAAAAAAAAGATATTTTCTGCTATACCACAAAAGATTTATATCTCATGATTCTTGAATTTCATTTTATTTGATTGTCAGTTATCCCTCTTTTTTAATTGTATTCAATGCTTTTGTGGCTTATTCGGAGTTTGTTCTATGCTACACCACGATAATTTAAATTCATATATTGATTGCTATAAACAATGGGTTCATTTTTTTTTATTTTTTTTTTTGTATTGCAGTATTTGCAGGGGAAGCAATTGTGGAGTAAAGTTCCACCAAATAAATGAAGCATATGATGTAAGTAAAATCTTCGAACTTTTTTTGTTTACTTACTTGTCCTTTTCTCCTTTAGGTTTAATTTCACAGATCTTGTTCGATTGTCACTTAGGCCTCGTTTGATTGCTAAGATAAGATTAAATAAATCTA